GGGGGCCACTGCATTCACTAGGTTGTGTGTGTGTGTGTGGAGTGAGAGTCACTACATTGGAAAGTTCAGCTCTTCAATTCAAGCTTTTGTTCACCGCGTCATACAGCAGAGGAGCACAAGCCCATAGAGCTGTGTCCAACGAAGCGCTCTCTATGGTGTCCTCAGGATATGCAGCTTGATCAGTTGCACGTACCTCCTGCAAGTAGAACTGTGGATGGGGATCCGCAACAGTGTCGAGAGGCCACTTTGGCAGTTGTGCAGTCAAGTGCGAAGGAGTCCACCGCATGTTTGTCACAGCGTGATCAAATGCTCGGACTTAAATCAATTGCTCATGCGGCCCCGGCACGATTAGAATCCTTGGCCCTCACGGCTTGAAAGCCAGATTGAAAGCTTGTGCTCCCAAGTGTTAAAGTCGTTTCGATTTCATGTTTTTGACTTCGCTCCATTTTGACTAGGGCTAGGGTTGTCCCATGCAGCTTTGTGTTAGGAGTGGAAGCGGTCGTTGTTTAGTAACTCTGTGTCCGGCATTTTGTTTAGCTGTTTGTTTGGTGACTGGTGCTTGGAACACGATTGACGACTGTATCACAGTGGTTCCTGGAAGCGGCGAGCTGTGCGTCCAAACCTATGTTGGGAGACTGCTGATTTGCTGCTGCTGCTGCTGCTGCTGCTGGTCTGCTGACCGGGCTACGAATCCTTCTCACTTGCTGCTTTCTTGTGCAGTGTCCCGTTGTAAACTGGGTGTTGTAAATGTTATAAATGTGCTTTAAGCTTAGCAGGCTGCTTGGTGAAACGCGGTGTCCCTTGCAGAAACACGTAGTGTAAGGGATTTTGGCCATGACTTAGTCGTGGGGTGGTGTCCCCGTGGAATTTGCTTGCCACAGCTGCATTGCAAGGACTTCCACGTCTGGATGTAGGCTACATGCCGTTACTTCCTGTCATTCCATTGCTCTTGTGCCATTGTCTTTCTGTGTGCGTATACAACGTTGTGTAGCATGCTACACACATGCATTTTTTCGGGCAGGGGACTTTTCAAACTTCCTGTGTGACAGCAGCGCGTTGAAGTTCGGACGTGAACATATTTGTGCCAGTTGGCTGTGTGTTCATCTCTGTTTTGTGGCTGCAACAACGGTCCAACCATTGGTTTGGTTCACAAGTACAGGGCTAGTACGTCAACCGACATTTGCATATTCAAGTTGAGTCGGTTTCAGCTTCAAGGTGGTCTTGATTTGATATTGTACGATTTTGCAATTTGAGACGACTTGTGATGTGCATTCAATGTACAAGTGTCTACGGTAGATATTAGATTAACTCCGATGTGATCCATTTGTCCTGGATGGAGTCAAGGAAGGAAATTCCCCAGTCCGAAGGTTTGACTGATCAATCATCAACGAATCAATCAGCTGTTTTCCTTGCTATCAGACGAAGCAGGGCTCTTTGGTTTGCATCACGCTACACGGCTACATTCACAATTCCACTCCAACCCACCAGGGTGCCCCACTGAATTCCCAGAGAAAACACCCCGTCAGACATTTTGTTTGGTCAGGCTGCGACTCCCCGAAGAGCGTCACAAGCGAGCACGGCCACGGCCATAGCCACGTGGGTCACGACAGCGGCGGCTGCCATGGTCACACTGGCCATAGTGGCGAGCACGGTGGCCATTGCAGTGGCCATAGCCACGGAGGGCACGGTGGTCATGGTGGTCATGGCCATGCACATTGATCGCAGACTTCCTGCAGGTGCGAATTGAGAAAGAAGAAATTGGTCGGTTTCAGGTTTCAACATGTTCCGATACAAAAAGATGTCACAGTACTGGGGTCTTTGGAGAAAATTTTGCATGAAAATGATTTTCTATTCTTTGCAGGCCTGGGAGAGGCAATTCCATCTGAGCCACGCAGACTTTTGGTAGTGTCCTGGAACATGTTGCATGATCTTGGTTTCGACATGTCAACTGGGTAGCACTCGAGTCCTGGGGAATTGCAAGTAGGGGACAAGAAGGGTGTACAAGTGATTCCCAGTGTGAGAGTTTGTTTCCGCCCGCAACGACCCCTCGCGAAACGCACACTTTCTTCCATAAGGAGCGATGGACGGTTCGATGACCCTTACCACATGTTGGTTGTTTGGTATTTAAGGCACGTCTTCAAAGGAATGTTGCGTTCTTGTCTCGTTTACAGTGGGGTTGTAAGATGAACAGTTGTTCTCATTGCTTAAAGAACGAAGACGTTCGAGTTCTCTCAGGTGGTCACGCGTATCCGGGCGCCACACAATGACACAAAGGGGTACACAGTACACATACTCCCACGCTTTCCTCATGTACCGTAGACAACGATGTTTTCAAGTTACGTAGATATGACACGCAAATCATCAGTCTTCTAACATCAAGACACATAAGAGTTTTAGCATGTTGTAGCTATTTGCAAGAAGCGCAAAGAGGGTCGGTACAGCTGGCGTGAGCAATGTCCCACAGAAGGGTGTACAAGTGATTCCCACATGGTGTGAGAGTTTGTTTGATAACAAGTCATTGCAATCCATTATATACACTAGTTACTAGTTAGTTGGATTGCATGAAGGCGATGATTGGTGTTTGCAATCATCGCGAAGGCAAATGTTTTGCTTTAATCAACCTCACTATACTGGACAATAGTTGTTGCAATGTCATGCGTGCTGCATATGGAGATGTAGTACTGAGGGGCGTCAGATAATTAGTGATCCAAACATATCCAAACTATGTATGTTAGCTTAAATTGTGATTCTTTGACACCAGTTGTGTGTGGGTTAGAAATATACGTTGAGAGGTTCCTCACACACACACATATATATATATATATCGAACTCAGATGCTTCTAGAATCCGAACTCGTGGTCCACAATTGCCAAAATTCAGCATTGCAGGCCGAGTGTTGAGACTGAGACTGCGGTTCTTCTGAACATTTCAGTGCTCCACCGTGTTATTGAATTCAAGTGGTCATGGGCCTTCACCTCGCATGAGACACACTGACTCTTTGCAGGCACACTGTAAGGCACTCATCCTACCCAAGGGATCGAATCGCGAATGCACCTCGCATCGACGAAAGTAAGCAATGATGCCCCATGACCATGCGAGAACAGTTTACGAACACAGTTTGTTTGGGCCATGGATCATGGCTTTTGTAAGGTTTTGAGGACAGGGTTTGTGGACATCTAAACTGATGATGAACAGCTGGTGAATGATCCACTGACCTCTAGTTGTTCACAGTGACTGAGTTCCTTGGTGTGGGCAGGAAACAACCGATACCCACTCTTTGCTAAGCCAAAAACAATTGAAGGCCAGGTCCACTTATATACGCTTTTCGAGACCACTGCGTCGACTGGGCCACCGGTCGCCTGGCCACGCCTCCTGAGCATTGGGGGTGGTGCGATCGCCAGCGATCGCTCTGAATTGAGTGTGCCGTTCCTTGAGACGCTTCGGATCGCTCCGAAAGAGACGCCCTGGAGAAATGGAATGAACAGCCTGCGGGGGATTCAGCAAATGCGGTTGTGAAGAGGTATTTTTGTATATTATTATGCAATTACAAGAAATGACGTGAAACCTGTTCATTCAACAAAGGTGCATTGTGCTAATTATACCTCAACAGATTCCATGTTTTGGCTAGTGGTTGTGTGCATCCTACCCGAAAAAGTCAGCAAGCCTGACCTACCAACCAGCAGTATACCTGTAGCACGAAGGTGTTTGTTAAAAACGGCATTTACATGACCTGGCCCGAAACTACCAAATAGGTGTGACCCTCCAATGCAGAGGGAGGTTGTACCACGGAATAACTAAAGCCCACAAGTGCTTAGACAATCTTGAGGGGTAGATACCTGCAACGATGGGCAGGACAAATGGTGTAAATGTTGTTGTCCCTATTTGACGGTCTCATGTTGATCACAAAAGACATGGTTTAGCACAACAGGCCGAAGGCATTTGACCAAACAAAATGGTTCCCTCGCGTGTAACAGTTGCTGAGAGCAGGGCTGGCCGCTTAAACCACAGTAAAGCTGTCGCTTCAACTTCGTGACTTAGTTGTTGAAATTGATACCCAGCCAAGCCCAGCCAAGCCGATCCACTGGTAACCTTCTCTTGCTTGGCTTGTCCTCAGTTGTTGACAACCCCAACATATGGGGTGCAACACTGATTCACTGTGTTTCTGTATACTTTGATCGTTTTTTTGCTTTGTTTTACAACAACTGTGAGGGGTCAGCCGTGGATTGACTTGACAGGTACATGTGTGTACACCTTGGATTCACAGGTTACCTTTTGGTTTACTTGCAGGGGACACGGAGACTGATTTCCCATCCGTGCCAACAAAGCTATATACGGAAATCAGTTGGAAGAGAGTTGGGACGCCAACTCTTGCACTTTGATCGATTGCTAAAGTTCATTTCCTTCTGGTTCCTGGTCAACTAGAACAATCTTGGAAATCGGAAGCTCTTGAACCTTGGATTTGGGAGGCACTTTGGTTTGCTACCCTCTTAGGGGTTGGGCAATGGACGGATGACCCACCAACAAGTATATAATTTTGGTCTGGCCCTGGAATGATCGACTTTTGGTCGTGGCAAGCCGGTTGATGTCCTTTTGCTCCTTTGATTCCACTTGATTGTTTTTTGATGATTCATGATTCTTTCGAGTTTCTTTACCTCTTCCGGGCTTCCGGGTTCCTGTTCATCTCTTGAACGTGATGTCCTTTCGTTTTCCAAGCTGTCCTTTTGTGCGCCGTCTCCTATTTCTTGCGATTCCATTTGGCAACCTTAGGTGAGTTCCTTTTTATATCCTTTTACCTGCGTTTGATTGCGACCTTTTCACATTTAACACCACGTGCGGGTGTCTATCAAACAAATATGAAGAACATTGAGGAACTCACAAAACACATTATTGTATAAAACATAAACCCGAGCATACCGGAACTTTATGAGTCTTTATCATGGGGTCAGTAAAACTGGGACAAGGCACAACCACTCAGCTTCGATCCAATGCATCCCTTCTCCTTTTGGCTCGAAGCTGCCGCGGGGGCGAGTTCTTCGCCTGCGCCAACGGCCATTTTGGGCCCGGCACGATTGGTGTCGCCCGGACGAAGGGGTGGTGACCGGTGGTCACCGTAGTTCTGGGGCACGATTGGTATGAACAGTTTGCTTCTCCTCTAAGCAGCCGCATGGTGTTTTCTGTCATTTGAGTGGGATGTCACGCGTTTCACAAATCACGTGGATGTGTGTGTGTGTGTGTGTGTGTTTGTTTGATTTTTGCCGCTTGTCCATCGTGTTTTTTTGTGCAATCCACAAGTGACGTCCACACCGCTTTTGTTGTCAATGTAGTTTCCTTGTCCACTCTAGTAAGCATGTTTCAAGGGAAACACCAATTACTCAGAGAACAGAAATTGGCAAAAATGGAATGTGTCCTGCACCCTAACTTTTCTTTTGACCATTGCTCCAACTGTGGCCCAGCCACTTTCTTGCCATTGCCAGAGCCCGGAGCTCTATGCCACCCAGTGTGCAACTGCAAAAAGGACCTTCCAATCTGACTGCTCAATATGTGCTTTGCCCTTCCACCTTTTCAGAAAACCTGCGCCTGCATCAGGTAGGTCCACTTTTGATGCCGAATCAGAACCGACGTTCCAACTTCGCAGCTCACTCCACGAATCAAGCTCGAAGGAGTAGCTCATTCATCATGCGAGACTATTGAACATTGAGGGTCAAGTATTGTGCCCCACAAGTACTCGTATTACACAGATTGTGTCACATTGGTATGTTAAAGATTGTATCACATATTGGACACAACCCTCATTGTCCACATTAAAGATTGAGGACACAACGTGTCACAAAGTGTTCGAAAGGAAATGAAAAGGAAAAGGGAATGTGTTCTGCAAATCACCCCGGACCACTTCACCCAGAAGGGGGGTCCGACCGGGTCGCTTTTGAAGTGAACCTCCAAGACCAACGGAACACAAACACCGACACGAAGACCGACCGATCGGAGGTGATGCTGAAGCCTCCAAGAGATGGAGCAACTTGACGACATGTCGTCGCCACTCTCTTCATTTGTTTTAGATCGCTCCCCCTCTCTACTTTATTGAGTAAGCGGCCGGCGCCTACTTAATTGAGGAAGAGATAGCTACTAACCTAAACCTAATGGCAATGGCTCTCCAACCTACTAGCGATGGCCTCCAACCTAGTAGCGATGGCCTCCAGCCAAGTTGCAGACCCCTCTCTTCAATTTTAGGAGGTCACTGGGGGCAGGAAGTGGGTTTGGTGTAGCATGATAGAGTGTCGAGGTCTAAACATGGGGGAGTGCAAACAATCAACCATTGATTCATGCACTGTTGCTGTACGTAGAAGAACCTTGCAGAAAGCTCGATTTCCTTTGTGACTCGATGTCAACTGTCAATCTCATCCATAAAGAGGAAGTATGATGAAGTATGTATGGTGCAGGTGGATCAACATTTGGATCTATAGAATTGCTCACAGTTGCTCTATGACAATGAACAGGGGTCATATCCCTCACTCAGTAGTGTTGAAAGCACCTGGCCGTGGGGAACCTTCGACTAGAACCCAACCGCCGTGGGACTTGAAATCAGTTTGGGACCTGAGGGCCAAGTCCCCCCCCAAAATGCCGTGGGCCCAAATGTGGGTCCTCAAGGAGTACTTCTCACTTCAAGCATCTTCAACCCCATCCGGGCAGATGGGCGGCCAATTGATGATGGCAATAAACTTGCTGACCATTTGACCAGCTGAGGGCAGGAGACTTCCAGCTCTAGCACTACTGTGCGTCGGGGTGCCGTGGAGGGCGAGGGCCCGGGCGGAGGACGAGAAGTTGTCCACCTGAAGCAATCCAATCAATGCATTCACAGACAATTCGAAGACGAATTCTTTTGCAGTTTGCAACCTGAAGCCCGGCTGCAAGCTATGGCACAAAATCCTGGGTGTGAGGGAAATGGCAGGATACGGATACGTTTGATGCTTCTGACATTCAGATCATGGTCATGGTAGAGGTTTTGTGGGTGCAGATTGATAGGAAGAGTCAGGAGGTGTGTTGTGGGTTGCACACAACAACAGTTGCTATGAAGTTGTTATGGAACTCCGTGATCATGTCTCGGTTGCAATCTCAAGAGAAAATATATAGGAGTGTTTTTGTTTGTTGTTGACAGCAAGGGGCTGCCCTAGTCTAGTGAAGAAACCTGTATTTGGAGGCATGTCAGCTCTGCCGGCTCAAGGAGAACACGGTTCCTAGAGTAATCTATGCCTTGTGGTTGGCTGACTGGGTGGCTGGTTAGTTGATTGGTTGGGGTGATCCTGGAATTAGGCCAGACTCGGAGTCGGGATGGTTCATGATCCCTCATGACATAGAAAAGTGGAATCATCCTTCCAACATCTGAATTCAGCCGAACCGTTCTCTCTCCGAAGCAGATTTTGGTCGCCACACCCAGGCGGCTTTCGCCACCATGCCTGACCGGCTGGGTTGAGAGGGCGCGATGCGAGAGCAACAGGGGAGTACTGTGAGGCAAAATATGTTTGTTAAGTTATATTGTATTACTCCACAATAAACTCCTGGCGAACCCATCACAGGAAAAGACGAGTATTAGCAAAGCCCTTGAAAAGTCTCCACTTGGGAATTGAACCGTTGGAGCTCCGAGCGGTGTAACCTTTATGAGGGATGTTTAGGGTGGGGGGGCACCTGCAGAGTGCCATAGAACATCGTAGCAATCCCTGGAACAACTCCACACCCTGTCGGGCTCGCATGGTCGCATGGTTTCTGTTTTGACCTTTCTTCAGAAGTTGAAGCCATTTCGGTCGAGTGAAGACCAGACAGCAACGGAGTTTGGCCTTTGACAGGAATGTAGTGTAGTCCAATCCGGAGGGTTTGAGGAATTCGTCTAGTTGTTTTGCATTGATTGGCATCGTGTGTTCATGTCACGTGTTTTCTTGCTGCGAGTGGCCTTGTAATATCGGTCAGATTCCAAGTCCAAGTTGATATTTCTTTTGGCAGTCGAAGCGACGTCCTCCAACCTAGAAGCGATGGCCTCCAACCTACTAGCTGTGATTGTAGAGACTTTTCATTGGATTTCCACTGGTCCATGTGTGAAAGAGGAAAGCGAGCCGCGGCCAGGTACCACTCCTTGAGCTTTGTGAATGGCTACGCGTCCTCCGAAGCGGCAGGAGCAGTCTGTATATCGGCAAATCTTCCCCTTTTGGGCTTTGAATGGCGAAACTAGTAAGGAATTCCCAGTTTCTACCTAATTGGATAGGCAACCTGGGTGCCTTCTGGTAGTTTTGCTTGTATGATGCTCTCCTACTACAGAGACGCGTAGAGAAGTTCAAGTTGAGTACGTATTTTCAGGGTGCATATGCCACGGCATACTACTAGTGTGGCTCATTGGCCATTGCCTGTATAGTGTGTCAGAAGGTGCAGAATTGTCCCCATCAAGCCTAGACACAACATCGCGCTTAAGTAACATGATTGACTTTATTGCATCCGAGCAGCTACTGCTACTGAAAGAAACCTGCACTACCCAGACCCGGAGCCACAAAAACACTGTAAGTATGGTGGCTTTCCGTATCTCAGATAGCTCAGTAAATTTCTTCGGAACAGCCACCAGCACCTGACAGCGAGGAGTGGACTGCAGCAAATTAGTGCAGAGCTCAGAATGTGGGACCACTTCTTGGCTCGTGGCTTGCAACTTGGGGGCAAGCTTGAGAGATCTTGCGAGTAAGAAACACCATTAATAGTAAGTTGACATCGCGGATGACCATTCTGTTCATTTAGGGATGTCAATCACAACACCGTGGGGTGCACAAACATTCACAACATTTCACAACCCAGTCCCGCCATTCCACAGCAGATGCTTCGGTCCGTCAGTTTCCCATCCGTGTTCTCCCTATTTTGCCCCACCATGGTGCACACCAAAGCAACGGTTTCCGTTGATTGGAACCCACTATCCCAAAACAATGAGAAACATGTTCGTTCGGCAATCAACAAGTCTATACAGTGTTCCACAATGTTTTGATTTGCCCCGAACCATCAGGGAAGTTCCGGTGGCACCTGGTTTGGACACCTTGAGGTCATGGAGGCTCGGAAGAAGGAGACTTGGCCCGTGAAGCAGCGACAGCTCCTTGGCTGAAAGTCGACCTTGACAGCGACAGCTCTCCACATCTATGCGAGCCGCCAAAACATGCAATGACTAATTTAGTAAAAAGCGGTCGTGAATCTCAGGAAGTGGGTGAAAACAGGCAAAAGCGAGGGCGGCGGCCCCCCTCAAAAGCGATCACCGAACGCTGAATCATGTCCTTTGATTGACACTACGTTTTGGCAGACGCTCGACTCATGTATAGCTATATTACCAGGAGCAAGGACGCTATTAGGTGGAGGCCATCGCAAGTAGGTTGGAGGCCATCGCTACTAGTATATAACAAGAAGCTACTAGGAACGAAGGGCATCGCTACGAACGGAGCAAGGACGCTACAAAGGTTGCTCCTGGCCTTACTACTAAGAACAAGAAGCTACTAGGGGCTCCTGGCATCGCTACTAGGGGCTCCT